AATATTAATTAATAAGTGAATGATCTGAAAGATTCTAACAGCTTGCAGAGAAGACAGAACCTTTTTCTTCCACTTTTTTTTTTATCACGCTAAGTGCTCCACAACATGGAGATATCTTTCTTGTTGGGGTCTTGCAGGCTAATACAATAAGAGAGAAAGGATATAAAAACTAATATGCCTTTGGGCTTTGGTTTACCTGTTGTACATTTTCAATTGGTGCTTTTACGTGAAGGCATCTATGGTGTGTAGGGGGGTGGGGGGCAGATTCTTGAGTGAGATTCTCAACTTCACAATAGTTGTTTAGTATAACGTGTGGATCTCATGCAATTGCTGGCTGCCCCCACTACTATATTTTCTAAACACATGAAAGAATAAACAAGAGAGTAATGAGCTGTTTGGCATGCCATGCTGGCAAACTTTAATTGGTTTCATGACAATGTGAGGTGTAGGGATGACCATACAGAACATCTCCAGCAAAACTAAGAAATATAGATACAAACCCGACAATTTGAGATAATTGATAAGTCAACTGCTAATACAACTGCAAGATCAAATAGTTAACTCGATCCACTGTGTTAAAGAAGAGGAGCAAGCGGAATATGACTCAAACATCAATGCCTTTTGAACTAGGTACACTACGGGGGTAATGTCCACATAGTACCTGATTCAAACCCAAAACGTTTTACATTCCGTTTTGGATTATATGCAATTCAAAAGGCACTGATGTCAATCGAATCCTTTGAATTTCCGATATGTATAATTATATAAGGAGACACTTAAATACATTTTGGCCACAAAGATAAGCTCCCTAAAAGGGTGTCCACAAACAGACACTTAAATACATTTTGGCCACAAAGATAAGCTCCCTAAAAGGGTGTCCACAAACAGCAGCATCTAAGTCAGCATCAAATCCTACACAGGGCTACAGGTATGCATAGTTTTGCAAAGTCAGGTAGCTTTCTTTACACAGCACACGGGTTAATGTTGAAAGTAAGAGTTTAGACATAGCATAAGCACTAAAGTGATGGACATTACAGACTGGAATCAAGCGGAGTTCTGGGAAATGGGGCCGAGGTAATCGCCCTCCAAGCTGACGACGGCCTGGAATTCCTTCTCAGCCTCTACGTACTTCTCCCCAATCACGATGAAACGCACTACAGTTTCTTTCTCGATCTTTGACATCTTATCGTTCATGAAGATGGGGTTTTCTCCTGGTACATAGCGGTAATCGGACATCTTTTGGTGGGAGAGATATATGTGCTCAATGGGTCCACATCTGAGGAAGACACCATGTTTTAGAATTTTGTGAACAACACCTTCCAGAATCTCTCCTCTGAATATCTTGAATGAGATGCAGTTGAATTCTACAGGAAACAGTACATCCCCCGTGTTCTCTCTGACTTTGCCTTCTCCAACCTTGTCCAATGTGGTCACAGCTAGATAGTAGCCAAGGGCCTTTGTGGCCTTCTTGGCGGCAAAGTCATCTAGGAGGCGAACAATAATTGCCTTCTGAAGCATCAAACCTTTGGCATCGAGGTTCTCTGCAGGAATTACTACATTCCACGACAAATGCGACTTCAAATACATTTTTTGGTTCTTTCCTATCACAATAAGAAACAGCGATCATGTGGTCAGGAAAACGGGGTATATTCATCATATATATATAATGCCAATTAAAACAGGTAACACTGCAGTAGAGCTACATGTAAGAAAACTTTGCCACATAAAAAATTTAGTAAAGAAATTTTGTCAGTCTGTTCGTGATCATCTTGCCAGTGCTAGAAATAAGAGAAATAAGTGTGTGGCGGGTAAACCTGAGTTTTCACTGAAAATTCAGAAACAAGGTGATGAATCAATAATAAACATGAACTGACTCATCATACTGTAGTCAAGAAAAAGTTATTCAAAAGCCCCAAGAAAAAAAAACGTATGGAGCATTATCATATAAGGAGAACAGCAACATCAAACTGTGAACATAAGGAACAGATTTTCTTAACTTTTTAAAAGATATATTCTTTTTGGAGTAGTAATGTAGGAAAAGAAACTCAGAAATTCAGAAATCAAACGATCACATTTTCTCTCTCTCTCTCTCTCTGCCCCTCTGTATACATTGATAAAAGGAGAGAACATATTCATTAAGGCATGAAGCCAACAATGGGCACAACATATAACAAAATCAGAAAGTCATCATGCCTCCAAACAACTTAAACAAACTCAAGCCTATCTACGAATCAATGAAAGAAGTATCATCATCAGGAGGCTTTCCAAACATCCATACAAAAAAGGGTTTCCACAGAAATCTATTTTGCAGCATCACCAGACCTTCAGAAGGACAATCGCACCTCTAGACATAATTTTTCAAGTTCACATCTCCACATTTGAACTCAATCTAGTCAGGCTACCTGAACGTATCTATTCAATATCATATTTAGTTATTGAAAAGGATGTGGAATAAATCATATGTATCCCATGTTTTCCAGTGCTTGAACACAATGTAAATATGAGTACAATAACTAAAGATGAATGACGAAAGAAAATTAACAAATAACATCCCAACTTCTATTCTTTCACAGCATTCAATTGAAAACAAGGGTTATTTTAAAGCTTCAAGCCAATGCAGGTTTCAGAGCTAGAGGTATCAACTATCAAGCAAAAATCTCATTTTCAGTCATCAAGCTTGAAGTGCAGAAACAATTCAATCCATCTGCCCAAGTATTGAGAAATTAGGTTTCTTAAGAATCTATTGGACAAGTTCAAAACGCACAAGACAACTATCCCTAAATCCCACCAAAAACCCTCAACAAACACTCAAATAGACATTGAAACGCTTGCGATAGGGCAATGCACTTAAATTTTCTCTGCCTATCAACAATTTACTCTAACACAACTCTCCGATTCCAGATATCGACATGCGATTTCCGCCGGCAATCATAACATTCCAAAAACTTCTGTAAACTCCATCAAAGCAAAAAACAACGAATTCAAGTGTAATAAATGTGCGCATGAGGTCATAAAATTGATACCTTAATATAGAAACAGTTTCAGAGCTTACTGTCTACAATCTTGAGCAGAGCGAGTTCACCGTGCGACACTGCGAGAGGAAGTAGAGTAGAGCGCCACTGAAATGATGAATATTAGGGCTCTCTCTATTTATTTTTCTTTTTAATAAAATCGATTCCCAAATTAAAATATTTATTTTAAAATTAATTAATCTTAATTATTTTCCATTATTTCAATTAACTAACAGAGTTAACTGTGATACACGACAAGTTCAACTGAAAGATTATTGACAATAATTAAATTCGTAATTTTTAATTAAAAATAATGTTTTACATAACACTTTTTTTTTTTTTTTAACCAAGTGACTTGTGGTTCACTTGTATCTGATTGTTCCTTTATGTGGAAGGTTTAGGGTTCGAGCGTTGGGTCATAGAGGTTTCGGGTTGTTAGAGGTTAGCCCATGATAAGCTGATACGGTAGAACCAGATCAATTCAATTATTAATTATTGGCTTTTGTGTAGTTGTGCTTGCTCATTAATTATAAATAATTTGTGCATCGTAAAAATACATATTCGATTCATATTATACTTTTTTTTTATTAAACCACGATATGTTATAAACAGGTCCCTAACAGTAAAAGACACCTTTAAAATGATATCATACTCCGTACTAGGCTAATCCTCATTTGCACTATACAAACTTGCTCTATTCAAATGTGTAATTAACTAATTATCCAATTGTCTCTCTTTCCTTAATTATTTAGTGCTTATTCACATTAATACAGTCATGAGTTTATCCAATTGTCTCTTTTTCCTTCATTATTTAGTGCTTATTCACATTAATACAGTCATGAGTGCTACACACAAATAAAATGATGAGTGAATAATATTTAATAGGTATGATTTTTCTTAGACTTAGGGTGTGTTTGAAAACTCGAAAAATGATTTATGAAAAAGTAATTTTTTGAAAAATGAGTTTTTTTTTTTTTAAAAAAATATTTTTCATTTTCCAATATTTGGTTGCATCTCAAAACACATTTTTGATGTGTTTGGTTCATTTTTCAAAAAATGAATAGAATTATACAATATATTGGAATATTGGACTGATGAACTATTCATATAAATAAACAAAACCATCAATATTTTTTAGAGCATTGCACTACTTTGGTTCTCGATGCGAAAAACAGAGCTTTGGTTTCCGGTAGAAATCGGTGTTCTGGTTGTCACATGTTTCCGACTGTGGGTTTTTGTGCCCACTGTCAAAAACCTTATCCGGTGGCCGAGGTCTGCCATTGGAGGTAAAAAAAAAAAAAAAAAAAAAAAAAAAAAAAAAAAAAAAAAAAAAAAAAAAAACTAAACTTGAATTAGAAGATGAAGAAAGATGGCGAAAGAATGCTGAGGAAGATGGAGAAAGAACGTTGCGAAAGAAGGTCGTGGAAGATGTTGGAGAAAGAACGGGAGAAGCTGAGGAGAAGAAGTTGTTTAAATCATGATTTGGAAAATAACTTCTCCCGGAGAAAGGGAAGTTGTTTCCAAGAAAACAAGGATATTTTATCTTTTGACCAGAAAATATTTTCTATAACTTTAATTTTTCAATCTAGTAATGATGAGTCATGATGAAACACGAGTCAACTTAGCCACTTAGGGTGCATAAAAATTGTGAAAGATATCATACTTGACCAGAGTAGGCCGAAAACAAAATAAGTTGTAGTTAACATTTTAGTCCTTAGTCAAATAAAGGTTAATATCTAAATTCCAATTGTTTATTTGTTTATTCCGACTATGAATAAAAATGATAGAAACAAAAGGTTTATATATATATATATATATATATATATATATATATATATATAAAAGGAGATTGTCTTTAAAATATTTATTTATCTTCCGATAACAATACTATTTTCTTTTATTCATTATGATTTATGATATGTGATATTTATACTTTGAATTAAATTGAAATTAACCTATAAATAGAAAAAAGCATACTCCCTAATTTGTTCAAATACATTTTCATTTACCAAAAGAGTCACCACTTCCAAAGAAGTGCATATACAACATATTTCTAAAGACAGAAATTTTGAATTGTCATCAACAAGCGGAAACTATATTACAACAGATCAGAACAGGGGAAGTCTAATCCGTCGCCGGCCAGCGACACCGGTCCAAGGGAATCGCCGTCAACGGTGGCCATAACCTGGAAACCCCATTTTCCAATTCCGACGTCCGACCATCTAACGGCGAGCACCTTGACACGCACGACGACATCTTTCTCAATCCTCGACAAATCCTCGCGCTGGAAGAAAGAGCGTTCCGCGTTGTCGACATAGCGGTATCTGGGCATCTTTGACGGGTGGAGATATATATATTTCAAGGGCCCAAAGCTGAGGAACACCCCGCGTTGCAAAACACGGTGGACGGTGCCGACCATGGTTTCGCCGGAGGTGGGGAAGAAGCTGCGGAACCGGAACTTCACCGGGACGAGGACGGATTTCCGTTTGGACGATGGCTTCGGCTTTCCTATGCTGATCACTTTGGTCACCGACAGGATGTAGCCGCAGCCCTCGCCGGCTTTGTTGTACCGGAGCTCCGTCAAGACGCGACCCACCACCTCGCTCGTTGAAATGTGCCGGCGCTCCGGGAACTCCTCCACCGGAAACGCCGCGACATGGATGCGCTCGCACTCGCAAATCATCTTCAATTCCCCTGCCCGGAATTTCAAGAATTCCGAAAGACTGTACTGAAAGAGAGAAATAATGCCCAGAAATTTGAATGCTTGAAAGTTGGAGAAATCGAGGGGCGGTGGGGGTGGAGAAAGCCTATACCGGAGGGAATTGTACATAGAAAGCTGATTTTTGCAGAGAAGTCACTGTACGACATTCGACATAGGTGTATATATAAAAATCTACAGAGGAAAGGTGGTTCCCTCCATTCAACTTTTGTTTTGAGTTCGAATTTTTTCGTATCTGAAATAACCTTTGAACTGCCCCTAAAATTTCAGGTGCCATTTACGAGGATTACAATGTGTTTGGGTCAACACAACCGTGCTTAATTAGTGATTATCCTAATAACGTTATATTGTAAGATTGCAAGAACATGGAAAAATACTTAGATGTATTCTCCAAACTTTACTCTCACTTGTGTTTAAATTTGATTGGAAGATGAAACAAAGAAATGGATAAACATCATGGCCACCTATAAAATTGAGCAATCAAAGCGATTATTGCGGGGTCCATTTAACACATGTAAAATGGACTTATTTGAGTGTTTGGGTGGACTTGGGGACCTTGTGGGTTGAGCCTAATGACTCACGGATTAGTCGGTATTGTGGGATGACTCGAAAATGTTTACTTAAATCTTGAGCTTATTATGATTTTTGAAGAGGATTAAGCTACTCCCCTAAATCAATGGTTCCCACAATAAAAGGAGTGAGGGACTAATGATGGTGATCAAGATGTTCTAAGCCTGGGCAAATAATGTTATTGGGATGGATAGTTGCTATGTTTGTTTGTTGTGATTAAGATATGAGGGATGGTATTGTGTGGGGTCTAGAAGATATTGGTAATGTCATGGTGGGAGGGGAAGGAAGGGAAGTTGTTGATAACTCTTTCACAATGATTTGAAATTTCTTTCCAAACAAAATCACATTTTTCTTTGGTTGGTTAAGAAGGGATGCATTGTGTGTAATGGAGAATGAGCTAAACTAAAACTAACATAGGATAGTAGTTACTTCACTTGCTTGGGGTGTGGTGATAGGATGGAAAAAGGTAGAACATATCTTTGGCAAATGTCTAATTAGTGTAAATATTGGAAGTCTTTATACTGAGAGATTTCAGGCACACGTCAATAGTAATTTTATCACTTGATTAGATGATAATATTTCATGTAAATTCAATGGTTAAGGAAATGAAATGTGGATCACGATCTTTGCAATTGCAAATTTGGTGGATGTGGAAATGGAGAAATGAAGGGGGGTTTTCTAATTTGAAGACAAATTGAGTACAAAATCTATTGAATCAATGATCGCTGTAAAAATAGTGATGAAAATCATGAAATATTACGGATGAAGAGTTATCGTATCCACCGGAATTGACGCTATATATGACATGTACTTGTATAACTATTAGGGCATCCTCAATAGTGTAGATCTTGGTGTGGTTTTTTAGGAGTTTTTGTAAGTGTGATTAGGAAAGAGAATATGAGAGAAAAGAGAAAAAAGAAAAATGTAAAACATAAAATTCTGATTTCCAAAATAAAAAAATATCATAAACAGCGTCAGAAACGCGCTCAGCTGGGCGCACCTGTTACTCCCACACGAAATAAAAGCATATGGTATTAATTTTTCGTAGGCCCCACTTTCTGCAAAGAACCCCATATTTACAGATTAAATTTTTTCCTCTCTCTCATGTTTCTCTTTCTTTCATGTAGGCATTTGTTTCTTAAAATTCGTGAGCAATTCCCTTATTGGGGTTGCCCTTAAACTTCTAGATACTAAAATCTTGAACTCATAAGAATCCAATTCAAGCACAATACCAAATATGGATAAACATATCAACACTAAGAAATGCACTAAAAATATGAAACAAATGCAATAGGAAAAGATATGGCTCAAGTTAAAGGAATATGATCACCTTATAGATACTACAATAACCTATGGAATTAAGGGGAGTCAAACTCAACCTTGCGTTCCAAAATTGTCAACACCAACTCGGTGTTCTAACACGCCACTCTCGTGATCCAATGTTAAGTCGAATCGAAACACGGTGTTTGTCTCACTCTCGTGACACCACCAATCCCCCTCAATAAGTACAAGCAGTCTTGACCTTCAACGTTCCTTACTCTCGTAAGTGAATTTGAAAGTCATGAGATGTGGTCTAAGAGAATTTGACGATTGAAAGACGTCTTTAAGAGTATGCTAAGTGCTAAAGCGGAAAACTATCTACAACAACAGATCAGAACATGGGAAGTCTAATCCGTCGCCGGCCAGCGACACCGGTCCAAGAGAATCTCCATCAACGGTGACAACAACCTTGAAATAAGGGCCTTCAACAACCTTGAAACAAGGGCCTTCTGAATCCATTCGGAAGCCCGACCATCTCACGGCGACCACCTTGACAAGCACGACCACATTTTTCTCAATCCTCGACAAATCCTCGCGCTGGTAGCAAGGGCGTTCCGCGTCGTCGATATAGCGGTAGTTGGACATCTTCGTATGGTGGAGATATATGTATTTCAAGGGCCCGAAGCTCAGGAACACCCCATGCTGCAAAACGCGGTAGACCGTGCCGGCCATGGTTTCGCCGGCGGTGGGCAGGAAGCTGCGGAAGCGGAGATTCACCCGGACGAAGACGAATTTCCCCGACGACGACAGCCTCGGCTTTCCTGTGATGACCACTTTGGTCACCGACAGGATGTAGCCGCAGGCCTCGCCGGGATTGTTGTAGCGGAGATCCCTCAAGACACGATTCACCACCGCGCTCGTTGAAATGTAGCCGCACTCCGGGATCGGAAACGCCGCGGCACGGATGCGCTCGCACTCGCAAATCATCTCCCCTCCCCTGCCCGGAATTTCAAGAATTCTGAAGACTGAGAGTGAGAAACAATGCCCAGAAATTTGGAGAAAGCCTATACCGAATGGGAATTGTACAGAGAAAGAGAAAGGCGATTTTTGCAGAGAAATGAGTGTACGAAATAGGTGTATATATATAAATCTACAGATGAAAGCTGGTTCCCTCCATTCAACTTTGGTTTTGGGTTCGAATTTTTTCGTATCTAAAATAATCTTTTAACCGCCCCTAAAATTTCAGGTGCCATTCACGAGGATTACAATGTGTTTGGATCAACACAATCGTGCTTAATTAGTGATTACCCTAATAACATTATACTGCAAGATTGCAAGAATATAATATTATGCGGGACCAAACTAGGATAATTTTGTGAATTGAGCTTAGTGACTCAGAGATTAGTCAATATTCGGATAACCTTGTGGCTCGAGCTTAGTGACTCAGAAATCAGTCAGTATTCTGCGATGACTCGGAGATATTTACTTAAAATTTGAGTTTATTATAACTTTTAGGAGGATTAAGCTACTCCCCTATTATTAAAAAAAAAAAAAAAAAGAGAGCTACTCCCTTAAATCGATGGTTCCCACAATAAAAAGAGTGGGGGGACTAATGATGGTGATCAAGCTTGGGCAAATATAATGATGTTATTGGGATGGATAGTTGCGATTAAGACATGTGGATGGTATTGAGTGGGGTCTAGAAGATATTGGTAATGTCATGGTGACTTTGGTGTACTAAGGGTTGAGAGGGGAAGGAAGGGAAGTTGTTGATAACTCTTTCACAATGATTTGAAATTTCTTTCCAAACAAAATCACAATTTTCTTTGGTTGGTTATGAAGGGATGCATTGTGTGTAATGGAGAATGAGCTAAACTAAAACTAACATAGGATAGGATAGTAGTTACTTCACTTGCTTGGGGTGTGGTGATAGGATGGAAAAAGGTAGAACATATCTTTGGCAAATGTCTAGTTGCTATACAAATATGGGAAGGCAAATTATACCATGGACCAGGTCTACCTTGTATTATAGACCCTGGTCTAAAAATGACTTTTAGATTCTGTATATATAGTTGACACATTTTGTACTCACAATTGATAGTTCATATACTTATAGCTATCATATTATGTGTCAGACATTATCAAGTTATTTGTTTACATGTACGGAAACGGTTAACTGTAGGTACATAATGTGTTGATTAAAGGTATATAATTTTTGTATCAGGATTCACAATGCAATATGAACCCTGGTTCATGGTATAACAATTGATATTGGAAACCCTTATACTGAGATAGATTTCACACACATGCAATGTCAATAGCAATTTATCACTTGGTTGGATGATAATATTCCAGGCAAATTCAATGGTTAAGGAAATGAGATGTGGATCACGACCTTTACAATTGCAATTTGGTGGATGTGGAAATAGAGAAATGAATGGGTTTTTCTGATACAAAATCTATTGGATCAATGATCACTGTCAAAAGTGATGAAATATTACAGATGAAGAGTTGTCGTATCCACAAGGATTGACGCTATGGGCACGTACTTGTGTAACTAATAGACTTCTACACACTAAAGCTTTGAACCCATAAGAATCTAAGCACAGTCACAAATATGGATAAACATATATATCAACACTATTAAATGCACTAAAAATATAAAACAAATACAATAGGAAAAGATATGGCTTAAGTTAAGGAATATCACCTTCTAGATACTACAATAACCAATGGGATTAAGGGGAGTCAAACTCAACATTGGGTTTCAAGATTGTCTACACCAATTCGGTGTACTAACACGCCAGTGCGCCAATCCCCTGTTAGGTTGAATCGGAACACGAGGGTTGTCCCACGCTACCAATCCCCCTCAATAAGCACAACCAATCTTGATGACCTTCAACGTTCCATACTCTCGTAAGTGAACTCCTTGCTAATCTATGGACTCCTTGCTTAAACGGTTGCCAAATCTCATACTAGAGATGCATTGACAAAGTATGTACAAACTCATTAACACAAGAACAAAATAACATCATACATGAACAAGAACCCTAAATTGGGGTTTACCCCTCCTATGCAATAATAACAAGAATAGTGTCAAGATATGCAATACAATCATAATCTAAGCCCACAAACTAACTACTCACACATATTAAACATAAACATAGCAAAAGCATAAGTATATTATATAAAGCATAAACATTGCAAATGAAATAGATTAAAGGAAAAAAGAAATTCTCGATTGACAATGGAAGAACAATCTTTGAAATCCAAGCTTCCAATATGATAAAGAACCTAAATCTAAGCTAAAATGATGAAAGGAAATGAAGGAAAATAGCTCTCAGCCGCCTAGGGTTTGAGAGAGGTAAAAACCCGAGTAAAAATACGCAAAAACCATATTAAGTAGTTTGTACAAGGGTGGGGCATGGGCTGCGCACAATGCGTGCAAGCGCCTATGCGTAAAACAGTGCCAAATCTCATCAGATTTGGATCCAACGACTTTGCAACGCCGCAACTTCGACTTTCAGGCAGATTTTGACCCCTTTAACGCTAGAACTGGACTTTTGTGGTCTTCATGAAAGTTATAGTCCTTTGAATTTTCTTTCCAATTGCGCAAGAATTGAATCACTTCATTTCGATATTCCCAGGCCGAGATATGGTCCAATTATCAAACAATGGACAAGATGAGCAAAAATTGCAACTTCTTGCTATTTTATTCCACTTTTGCATTGGCTTGCCCAAATGACAAAAACAATTGAGAACACCACTTTATGGCTCTCTTGAAAGTATTTTAGTCATCTCTTAAGCCTCATGTTGGCTCCCATTGACTGCAAATGCATCCAAAAAATGCTCTATTTGACTTCAATATTTCCCAAAATGCATAAAAACTATTTCTTTTGCTTCAAGTGAGAAATATTATACCTAAATGCACAAACAAAGCAAATAAGAGCTCTTTTAATTTGGTATGATATTTACATTTTCGGCCTTGAAAATGGGATTAAAAGCTCGAAAGGAGAAAACACGGCAAATTATACCGTGCAACAGGGCGCACAATGCATTGTGCGTCCTAGCTCAAAACGACGTCGTTTTAGACCTTTTCGCGTGTCTGCGGTTAACTCTTTAAAAAAAAAATTCATGTTTCGAATGTACAAAATTGTATAATAGAATACACAGAATTTTATACGTAAAAATACAGAATTTTATAACTGAAAACACAGAATTTTATAATTGAAAATTTCATTGTTTCTAATGTACAGAATTTTATACCTAAAAATACAAAACTTATCAAAACGACGTCGTTTTGGGAGGCGCGGTGCGCACATTGCTATGTGAGCCCTAGTGCACGTATAACGATTGAGAAAACACACTATCAAAAGGTAAAGCTCACACACTCTGATTTTTCAATTTGGGATTTCATCATGCAAACCTAATTAAACATGAGATAAAGGTCAAAAGGTCTTGAAGGAATAAGGCATGAGGAAAATGGTTAAATGGGTTCCACAACCTAGTGAACTCAAGCAACACACAAGTCTTTTTCAACCAAACATTCCACAATGACCATAGTGTTTTTGGTGATCCTGGCCTATTGCTACTACCGTGTAAATGGCACCATTTGTCTTAACATTTGGAATTTTATTCCCTAATTAATAATCTGCTTTTCAATATATAGGAAGCAGGTAGGAAACTTGCTTTGGTTTATAATATTGACATCAATATTGTCTGTTTTATAGTAATAATTATTTAATGTCTACACAATCATGAAACTGATCGAGTTTGAAAACTGCATTGTCGATAGATACAAGACTTCTACATGTTACTCGACCTAATATAATTGTTGAAAAATACTTTTCGTTTTGAATATCTATCATGTGGTTGATGTTGTCAGATGCTAATTAATGGAATTTCGGTGTTTTATTTATACAATTAGACGATTTTTGATTCATTGAATACTAAGAGGCTAGGTTAACTCACGTTTAAAAAAAAAAAAAATACTATTGACTCTGTTACAATGTAGTATATATTTATACATACTTTTTCAATTTTGGGTTAACTCAAGTTTTAAGTTATTTAAATCTATCATTAGATATGTATACAGAGTTTAGGCATCTCATGCATTGTCTTTTACCGAACAAATGTCGAACTAACTTGTTTTATAACTGATAATATTTTTAATTAAAAAATAAAACTTACTTAATCGAGGAATAATCTCTCGTGCCACTTCATTAGTGGTCCTTTCAGTATGAATTTATATATTCTTCTTATTGATTCATATTTGGATCTTGTGGAGTAGCATGGATTTTAATCTCAACAATAACCTACATTAAATGAATAAGACAATTAAGGGTGCATTTAGTAAGTTGAAAAAAATTTCAGGTATGTTATAAATAAATGAAAAGCAAAAGAGTAATTTATGAAAATTCGTCAATCCACTCAAATCAAATTTACAAGATCCGCATTTTTACAAGCAAAAAATTTTAAGCTCTAATCCATCCCACTATGGGACGGTTTAGGACTAGCTCAGCTCACAGATTTCGGCCCACTTTGAGACACCCTTATTGGTCATCCATAAACTGCAGTCTTTTAAGATTAATTTAATAGAGTGAAAAACACTCAACGTTAAAGCACTCGCTACTACCTTTGACTAGTAATACCAGAAACCCTATTGGACCAAGACACAACAATTGACTACACCTTTTTATTATTTGACCACATGTTAAATGTGGACCTCATGCATGTTTATTCCATGCATCTTCTGCTGATACCCAAGAAGACTGCGATATATAACCGTTACGTTAGTTGTTGGTCCGTTGCCACCCAATTCAAGTCTTCATTATCTTCCAACCTGCAAAGAAATTAAACCAGCAGCCCCCTGCAGCCGCCATGGATGAGTTCTTCCAGAATGGCTGTAGTCAAGAAACTGCAACACCACTACAGTGGTTTGATGACTTCCTCCCTTTGGTGAACCCAAGTGCCTTTGTGAAGTATGTGGATCAGAGGGTTGGAGGGGTGGGGTCCAAGGGGGATGGGAGCGGGTCGAGTCGCGATGGAAATGCGAACAAGAGGATGGTGGAGTTCCTGGGGAAGATGTGGAAACCGGCTTTGCAGACAATGCAGACGGCGCAGGAAAGGGTGCATAGGCATATGATCAATGAGAGGATGAGGAGAGAGAGGCAAAAGCAAAGCTACTTAGCCTTGCATAGGTTGTTGCCTCTTGGGACCAAGGTTAGCATGCACTTTTCTTTGTTTTTTTTTGGTGTAATGCACCTGGCCCAATAGGGTCACAAGATAGGGTTTGCCCCGTGTACACCTCAGACAGTACGATAGTTGTGAGTTTTCCTCATTATCCAAAAATTTGACTTGAGTTGCACCTCAGATGGTCCAGTCTTGCCAACAACAATGAGGAGTTAACTTGATCAAGGAGTATTGAAAAGAGGTGCCTACTAGGGTTGGTGTGTCTATAAGCCTATAAGCTCCTTTCTCGGGCTAAGAATTGATTTTCTGACCTTGCAGTTGCATTAGTAGTCTGCTTATTGGAGCTATTGATCAAGTTTTTGAAAATTATGGAATTTCTGACCACCTGAAAGTGATCTTAAATCAAGTCGAAATCAAAAAGTGATCGGAAATAGCAACAAAGGTTTTTCCGGATACCAAAAGTGGTCGGAACAAGGCTTTTCACTTGATTTAAGATAACTTTCAGGTGGTCAGAAATTCCATAATTTCAGTAGTGTTCTATGCTAGACTCGATGCACTTTTGATTTTGGAAGTTATTTAACTAGGTTGTGGATGTGATTAATGCAGGGTGACAAGAACACAATAATCCAAATGGCAGCTGCGAGGATACAAGAGTTGGAATTGTGCAAGGAAGAATTGATGAGGAGAAACAGTGAAATTGAGATGACTTTAGCAGCAAGTAACAATGAGAATAATGAGGGAGTGAGCAATAAGGGCAAGATTATTAGTGTAAAGGTGGCTTATCCTTCTAGTGGGATTGATTCCATGCTGCAAGTTCTAGAATGCTTGAAGAACAGTGGAACCAAACTAAGATCCATGCACTCCAATTTCTCTCCACAAGAATTCTCTGCTCTGCTAGAGATAGAAGCCAAGGTCAGTGAAATCTCTATTTTTCTGTTATTTTGATTTACCCGGAAGCTAGCTCGTATCCGCTACCTAAAGGTATGCATGGGTGAAGGCCGGCTACCTTGTGACTTTAGCCAACAAAGGACCACCATAAGGTAAAGCTAGGTTGTCCATTGATCGGCTAAATTTGCATAGTGACCTTAGTCGATCAGCAAATAATCACAATGAGCTAAGGTAAACGAGTCTAGAATGCTCATAGCTGACCAGACGAAGCTTGTCATGTAATTCTAGCCCGCAAAGGAGACGGAGACAAACTAGCTTAAATTGTCCATAGTTGACCAATCCGTACTCCCGCCACCATAGTCGACAAATGACCACAATGTGATAAACCAGTCTAAGTTGCCCATAACTGATAAATTCAAACAAAGAAGGCCAATAGACTGCTTGATCTGCAGTCAAACTTGGAACCTTGTGAGCCAACTGTCTAACCAACTTGACCAGTCTTGCCTGTTCTAATTTTTGTTACAGACTGGAGTTCCAGGTTTTGCTACATACATTATTTATTCTTCCAAAGGCTGAATCCCAACCCTAAGGGCTCCCACACCCCGGCCCGACAGAGCATTTGGGAGCATTTGTGCATACATTGTTTATTAGATGCACGAGTGAAGACTAGTCTTTTAGGTAGGGTGTTGGAGTGGGTAAAATTTTGATTGGTTTGGTCTGCAGGTAGGAGTAGCAGAAGTTGAAAATGCAGTGCAGAGAAGGTTGATGGAAGCTGGGACGAACTTTCATTACACCTTCCTGTGATCTGATCTGAGTGTTGAAACTTGTAAGGGTGGTGTGAGCGGCGGATAGCGACGGCGGAAGGAGGCTGGAAAGTGAACTAGCAAGCCAATATAATTATATAATTCACTTTATTCATCTCTGTAAATTAAATAATGTATAATACGAATTGAAGCTTAAGTTCTAATATTTTATTCATATTGTAAAACGTAACTAAATTTGTTTTATAATGAAAATATTTGTTTCTTAATGCGGCAAAACGCAACCAAATTTGTCTCAAATGAAAAATAATTGTTGAATCATGACCCAAATTTGTCTCAATGAAAATATTTGTTTAATCATTTGATAAAACGTGACCAACTTTATCTTATTGCATTAATCATTAACCATTAACCAATAAGCATAAAAAATATAGTCATGTTTGATAGATGATTGTTAGTTGATTGATTTAATTAGAGGGTATAATTAGTTGATACATTGCTCATTGTAGAAAAGTATTTAGTAAATTAAATATTTTTTTTTTACATCGAAAGGGAGGAGGTATATCCCGATAGGGAACTAGTTCCTGTCACTTTGAACCCAAGTCGTACGAAGGCGATCATTATCAATACTCTCTTCCAGGCCCGGGAGGCACCAAATGAGTTCATTCCATTCCCCATTTAACTTTATGCCCAAGTCTGCAAGGGTATCCGCACATTCATTCTGTTCACACAGGATGTTTCTAATGGATATTCTCCAATCTCCATGTAACCATTGTCTGATGTTCTAGTAAATTAAATATTAACTGATAGTTATTTGGTATAATTTTTTTCTCAAAATATTAATTGAAAAAGTTGCTTAGTCAATAAAAGAGCATCGCAAGTTATGTACTTTGTTTGGTAAATGACTATTAGTTAATAACTATTTTATTTGATTAGATTAACAACATTAGCTGATTCTAAAAGTGTCTAATAAATTAAATAATAGATTTTTAATATAATTTCTTTTCTCAAAAAACGAATTAAAAAAGTTACTTTGAGTAACTGAAATTTTAACATTTTGAAGGTACAAAAAGCTAATTAACCAAATCAAACAATTAATAGTAATCAAATAAGTCAAAATTAACTAACATGCACCTATTTACCAAACAGGGCCATTATCTTAAAATATCTCTCGAACCAAACACACTTTAATTATAGTTAATAAATACGGGGGGAAATGGCACTTTTTCCCCCTATGTTATATGCTTATAGCACTTTTTTCCCCTGAGTTATTCATGCGTCCACATTTGCCCCCTCAATTATTATAAAAGTGGCGGTTTTTCCCCTGATAATATTAAATAGACATTTTTACCCTTAAATACATATTTTATTTATTTCTCTTGTTCAACAAATTATTGTTTATACGTAGGGATGGCCACGGTTCGGTTCGAACTGAACCGAACACTATAGCAATCAAATAAAAAAAATTCGGTTATGATTCATAACATAACCCAATATTTAGGTTTCCGTTTATTAAAATTGTGAAGTGGAAAAAAATAGATTCTGAACCGTGAACCAGAGGTTCAAATCGGAACAACTACTAGCAATAGCTTAAAATTAGAATTATAATATTTGCAAATAGTGTATGTTTTTTTCGCATTTATATTGACTCTCACATATAAGTATATATAATCGCGATTTGATTTTTATTTTGAATCGTTGTTTCACAATTTCGGATCCAATTTGAACTGTTGGTTCAAACATTACTTTAAAATTTTATTTTTTTATTTTTAAAGTATTCTAAATTCAACAATTAATGTATTTTATTTTTTCAAATTGTGGTTATAATTTGTTGGAGAAGTAAAATAAAAGAAATATTTATTTTAAGGGTAAATATGTCCATTTAATATATCAGGGGGGAAAATTGCCACTTAAATAATATAGGGGAAAAAAGTGCTATAAGTATATAACACAGGGGGAAAAAGTGCCATTTTCCCTAAATACAGAGTATAAACAGATGCAAACACACACACACACATAAACCTCAGGAGTATAAACCAGAAAGCCAACAAGAAGATAAAAACTTGAGAGATTTGGAAAATGCATAGTACAAAACCAATTTGATAGAACACAAGTAATAGATCCACTGTGCTCACTCATCAGCAATAGCTAAGAACATAAACTAAAAAAGGGTTCTCATTTCTCACATTCATAATATTCATTGAAACTGCAATAAATGTTACTGCTAAGATCCCTAAGAAAGCACTTGGGGAATGGTAGGTGCATCACTTGAGTGGAATGAACCTCGAAGAGTGAGTAGCACCAATACCGGGCCTACCGTGCTTGACAGGCTTGTATGAAATTGAGAACTCAGCTAAGTAGTGCCCAATCATCTCTGGCTTAACCTCAATCTGGTTGAAGGTTTTTCCATTGTAAACACCGATGACACTTCCAATCATCTCGGGAACAATAATCATGTTCCTAAGGTGAGTCTTGACAGGCTCCGGCTTCTCACCAGGTGGGGCCTCACGTTTCTGCAGCAAGTAACAAATGCATTAGATTGCTGTCCAACACCAAGCAGCAAACTAAAAGGATCATTGTTAAGAGCTAATAAAGGATCATTGTTAAGAGATATTTATCAGCTACAAACGGGTTCAGTTTGGAGATGCAGAGTGAACATGAAGAAGTGTGATCAAACAAACCATATATCATGGAAAGCCATTACACATTCTCACTTTTCCATTGCCCCTCTAAGCAATATTAAGTCAGCCATCAAACACTTAGCTAGACACATTCTATTTCTATGTACCAAACATTAGATACCATATGAGCCATGCAATAAGTGAAAGAAAGTAAATGCTTCCCACTCCTACAAAAACCACACAAATTTTGCCACTCCCGAATGTGACTATTTCTGTGTAGTTAGTTTTTTCCTTTTTCTTTTTTATTTCATATTTCAACTCAGTTTGTGTGAGTGGTAAATGTAGGGAAGTGTAGCAAGGTCTGTGAAAGAATGTATGATAAGAGTTAACCAGGCTAATCTTGCACAAATCAAAGAATAGTATCAACACTGATTAACAATATTATTATTCTTTGCTTATTTAAGCCACTTCAATCAAAATTTGCACTCTAAAACTATGATATAGGATCAGTCCAACAACAGGTATGGTTGTGATTGTAACTTAGAAGCTGGACTTGGGGTTCCGTTAAATCATGGAGAAAGACTGAATTTTGTGGACTAATCACTGGCATAAACAATAATAATTTATTAAAGAACCAAAAAAACAAAACAATTCAAGTTAGGGCACAAGTCAGACTATGATCCAAAACAAATGCACAATAGCAATCCAGAGATCTTGTTGTGTGTTATGGATTCCTTCACCAATCAAACAAAAGAAATTTTGATCATCTAAGTTGTACTCCCAGCAACAGAATTCAACAAGTGCTATTCAAATTCAAATCTTTTATATTCCCAGAACTAAGCATTTAAATAATGAATAACTTCAGTAAAAACCAGTGCAGACATGAACATTTTTCTCCATATTCATAGAACAAGACAACTAAAATGGCATATAACTATTAAGCAAGAAACAAAAATAATGAAACAAGGTTATCCAAAAGGGTAATCTCATTCATACCGCCTTGCGGAGTTTCTTAATCAGCGCCAATGGCTTCCTCTTCAATCCCCTCTTAAACCTACCCAAAATCACCAGGCCAAATCAATACAATTTCTTCGCCAAATCGAAATGACAGTCGACATATAACACTACAACGCACAGAAATCCAATTAAACTACTAAAGGAATCGAGTAGCACCTTCTGCGAGCGCGGGCAGTGAAGAGCTTAACGAGATCATCGGTGGACATGTCGAGAAGAGCATCGAGATCCACGCCCCTGAAGCTGAACTTCTTGAACGTTCTCTTCTTTGGCTGTCCGGCCGCCACATCATGCTCTGCGTCCGCCTATGTACACCACCGCCGTCAATTCACATAGCAAAAGCTCGGACATACATACAGCATATAGAAAAATAGCGAAACTTACCATTGCTGTGGAAATGCAAGCTGAATCCTTCGCTGCAGAGTACTGCGAGTGGCGCGACGGGCTCTTAGCGGCGATGAAAAGGGAATGAAACTGCGGGATAGGGTTATATACGGTAGAAAGGTAGGGTTTTGGGAGGCCTGATTAATTTTATGGATATGGGCCTCGATATATTTGGGCTAGAGTATCTTTGTAGCTCACATGACAAGTAGACTGCATTATGCTCCCTAAGAGTTCATGCGTATTACGTTAAGAGTTTATGTGTATTATGTGTAAAAATCTATACGTATTATGTTAAGAATTTGTGTATTATGTATATTCATAGTTGCAGTAGGCGCTAGTCGGTAGAGTAGCGCGCCTAGCGCCTAGACGGGCGTCTATGCGGCTAACTAAAAAAGAAAACAGTGCATGTGTGCGAGTATATATATATATATATATATATATATATATATATATATATATATATATAATGAAAAAGGAGATTAGAAAGTCCGAGCTGGCTGGTCGACAAAAAATGGACGAGTTAACTCGGTCAAGTTAGGCGCTAGGCGGGTGCTTAGGCGGCCAAAAATGGACGAGTTAACTCGGCCAAGTTAGGCGCTAAGCGGGTGATTAGGCGGCTGATTGCCTAGGTGGGCGCCTAGGGAGGAAATTGCCACGGTCTAGGGGCACCTAACCCCTAGACCGATTTTTGCAACAATGATTATGTCAAGAGTTTATGGATATTCTACTATACAATTCTGTATGTATAAAACAAACAGGAATTTTTTTAAATTGCACAATGCATTGTACGCCCTGATGCACGATATAAGAATTGATGAAATAAGGAGCAATGCATGCAACTATGCAAGAAGGGAAAGCCTTCATTTTCTTCTCCACATAAGAAAAAAAAATATGGGAGTATTAAACAAAGATACTTGTTCTATCTCAGTACTAATGTACAATGTTTCCTTTATACGACCTGCGGGCTGCGACTGAAACAAAAAACCAAAAAAAAAAAACCCCAAACAACTATACAACACACAATCAACCCTGCACTGCCAAAGACTGCAAATGCTCTATGAATACTTGCAGGCTAATATCATCTGTGAATATAACATCTTTCCCATCTGTATGTGTAGAATTATGAGTTACAGACGGGTTCAATTTCGCGAGGAGAAACCTTGCCTGACTACCGTGCTGATCGCATTTGATGAGCCTCGGAACAGGAAAGCGCTCGGCCACCAGTTGCTCAGCGTCGACTTCTGGAGCTTCCAACAGTTTCCTGAGGCTTTCATGGCTCGGGTCCCTGTCATAGCCGAGTTTTCGCCACTGTGCAATCTTGGAGCCGTAATGTATGACGACATGGAAGTAGGAGTCGAAGAGAAGAATAACGTCTGGGGAGATGGAGCACACGTCGAGTAGAACAGGGACAGGTGGGCCGTCGAATGAGTACTGGAAGAGGGTGGGTTGCACCATTATAAGAGACCCTACCACTCCCTCGCGGTTTAGCATCAGCCTGAAGAATGCGGTCTCGTCGGGAGTGCAGTTGAAAACCTCGATGAACTGAGACCGCCTTAGATAATACATGAACTGTGGGTATAGGGAGAAAGTGGAGGAGAGACGGAAGGACGATGGGTCTTCCTGCACGTAATCCCCAAACTTTGAAGCGAAGCGTATCAACATTTTATCCAGCCACCTGATTACGTCGGGCGCAAAAGTGCTCCCGAGTTTATGGATGGCGAGCCGAGCCATTAACGATGCAGCAGCTTCCTGATCAAACCCGGCAACAATTTCCGCAGAGTGGGTCCCAGCCCACCTTCTCGCTGCAGTTGTCACCCTTTTCCGAAATCCCATGTTTCCACATCTGTAGCGTGTTATGAACTGTATGAAGAATGCTGAGCTGGGTTGCGCTTTCTGTTCACCCCCGACTTCAAAATAGAAGGCGATGCATGTTTTGTTGGTGAGGGTACCTAATTTCCAGATATGGGTACCGCCCTGACCAATTTCTTTGTCACTCACCGAACCATTCTTCTTGTGTAGCGATACACAAGGGCCAAGGGCTCCACAGATTCTTACGTCTTTCGTGGTTACTATTTCCAACGTTGCATCAAAACACATCTTCAGATTCCCAAACTCATCGCGGCTGTACAAGTGACGCAAACACTTTTTGAATTGGTCGGACTCGAAAGATTCTCCTAACATCATGAAACCTCCCGAACATTCCACGGGATCCTTAAGTTCTGCTGCTCCAACTTGATCCAACGAACAGGCGAACAGATCAAGAACAATTGACGAATCAGAAAGTCTCTCCGAGATCTTTTTGTAAAATCCACAAGACTTCGTGTAATAAGCTGCATGACCATTATCCACATCTCTGTGAGTTCTGATTGCATTTCGAAAATCTGAATCTACCACCTTCCCTGGGCCAATGGTTGTTGGCCCCGAGGTGAAAATCGTGATACGAGAACCCGTGTTAACCAAGTACCCTTCTAGAAGTCCAACAGCAACTGAAACTGCAACTCCCGTCGCTCTAACAGGACGATGGCCTGGCCTGACATTCGGCAAAGATTGGATATCCTCAATCGCAGCCGATATACTAAATTCCCCATCTGACAACCGTACAAGGAATCCCTCTTTCTGCACACTTGGCATCATTCCCGTTTGGTACTTCACCGGATGAATGCCTAGTAACTGCTTGGTCTGTATAATACAAAGAATCAAAACATAGAAGACAAATTCTCAAATTCCCGTGGCCATCAGTCTTTTCATTTATCAAATTCTCAAACTAATATACAGAATTTGAGAGTAAGCATTCTGTTCTATGGATTTAATCTACGACTAAACCATAAAAATCAAGAAAGGAGATAAGATTCTCAGCTTTCACACCAAGAATATATTAGTACCAATTCCAAAAGCTATACAATTTCACTTTCACTAAGCTTTGTCTCACTTCTATGAAATAATGCATGGCTAAAGAAGATCACAAAAATCACACAGTAGATAGAACAATGCACCTTACTCCTTTCATCTTCACTATCTAAAACTCTGAGCTTTGGGGTAATAGATTATATTTTACAAACATGACAACTGATAAGTAAACCAACTTTTGAAGCTAAAATTTAGTAAGTAGAGTATACTATATATACCTCCTGAGATGAGAGCTCACGCTCCCCATGGAAAAGCACCACTCTGAAGCAGTCTGCAAAGCTGAGATCATAAACCCTAACCATGGAGTCGAAAACCACCAACCCCACTAAAGCATAATCCGGGAGCTGCGCAATCACGTGCAATAGCTCATTCTTCACAACCCTCAACTCCTCGTCCGGCGTACAAGCATCCACGACGAACACGAATGCCGGCCCGGTGCAATCCGCCCCTGGCGCCATAGAAGAGGAGCCGGAAAACGAAGGGTGAGACGAAAATGATGGCGACCTCGGCGACACCAACGACGACCCGTTTCCGAACCCGGGCATCAAATTCGGAGCCGAGTGATTGTTATGGGGCATTGCCAACCCCTTTTTCCCCAGCTGATACTCCACCGTACTATACGTCGGGAAAAGCTCCGCCGGGATGTTGTTCTCGCTGATGGCGAGATACGATTTGGGGAAGGGGTTTTTCCGGTAGCAAAACGGGCAGGACCAAATTCTGGTGGTGTAATCGACGCGGGCATAGGGATTCAAAACCGCGCCGCAGTCGGAGCAGATGAGAGGGTCGTAAGGGAGCAGCGGGAGCTCATTGAAAGCCATCAGCGGCGTGGCCATGATCGCGAGAGGGACTACTAAACCCGAAGCTTCGGATTTCGAAACGGGCCAGGAGTTCCACGACCATCGGAGGCCCTCGATCGCCTCCAGCTCCACGAAATCCATGGGCGACCCAGTTCGAGAAATCAGCTGGATTCGACGGAAACTTGGGTGGATTGCATTAAAAATTCAGTACTGTAGATTTGGGTAGCTAGGGCTTAAGGGGCTGAAAACCCCTATCTGGGATTTGGTATTCTCGGAGGGGAGATCTGGAATTCCAGTGAGAGTATTGAATCCAAAGCTTTTATCTTTGCGGCTAAGGATTTCAAGAAAACAAAAAAAAAAAAAAAAAAAAAAAAAGTGTTGTTCAGTGAAGGTGGCTCAGCGAGATGCCAGCATTCCGTCAGCCGGCCACGGAAAGAAGAGAGAAGAAATGGGTGCAAGGAATAAAGTGAAATGTATCACGTGATAGTCACGTTTCACACTTTTTTATTTTATTTTAAATATTCAACTAGTTATAAGTCCACATGATATTTCATATGTTGGTTCGGTAGTAAAGCAATGCCATAAGATTGCTAGTGGCATTGGGAACGTTTCAGTTCGCCATGTCAACAGGTCAGCGAATTATTTAGCTCATGTTCTAGCGCGGGCTTATGATTCTATGTCTGCCATTGGTTCGTGGTTTTCTATGCCACCCACCTGTATCTCATCGTCTTTGGTTGATCTTTAATATATCATCTCCTTTCTCTCTCAAAAATAAGTCCACAGGATCTTGTCCCGACTCCCGAGTTACTGCAGAAGTTATTCTCCTAATTACCTCCCAATTTGGAAGGGTCACTTCATGCAACTATATCAGACCACGAGTCATTCTTGGTTCTAGGTGAGCGCCCAGGATCACACCCTTAACCCTTTGGTTAATAAGGATGGATGAGTCTCTTCCACTCAATCATATCCCTAGGTTAGAGTGTTAGACCACAAGCCTTTGGCCCTGTTTGGTAAATGATTGTTAGCTAATAGCTCATAGTTGTTAGCTGATAGCGAATAATTGTTAGCTGATTGGGTTCATTAGATGATTAGAGGGTATAACTAGTTGATAACATTAGCTTATTGTAAAAAGGTGTTCGGTAATTAGCTCTTAACTGATAGTTGTTTGGTATAATTTCATTTCTAAAAAATACTTATTGAAAAAGTAACTTTGAACACTTTTTTGAATTTTAACATTTTGGAGTTACAAAAAATTAATTAACCAAACATTTATATTAATTTTTTAATCAAATCAAAAAGTTAATAGTGATTAAATAAGTCAAAATAACCTATAAATTAACTATTTTACCAAACAGGATCATTCAATTCTCCAATTCAACGTATCCATCCCCCATATTCTAATGAGTAATTAATACCCTACTTACATACCACTCTTTGATTCATTCAAAAAAAAAAAAAAAACAATTTATTGAATTATCAATATTGCAAAGTGCAAACTCTGAATTGTAAAACTATTATTGTGGAAAAATGTGGCCCGAAAAATGTTACACTTCTAACAAGAAAAACAATGGTATAAAATATAAATAGCCATGCAACAATGAACTTATCCTACAACCATATCTGTTAATAAATAAATTAAAGGTGTCCCTTGGAGTTCCAAATCAATCACTGATCAACTTTAGCAGCGCAAGATCCCTCCCAGTTGCGCGCAAGAACTATCTTCCTTCCCCCTGGTACCCGTCCAGCAACTGCAGAAGAAACTTCAAGTTGTGAAATTTTGCAATGTTGATTGACTTTTCTATGAAGTTAGATTTAGTGTGGTCCAACATAAGCTTTTCCCCGACATGGAAGTAACTCCATGGCAGAAACTTAACAAGCTTTTGCATAAACACAGGCAGGCGTTCGTTCAACAAAACCCCAGGCACTTTCGGCACGGCATCATGAATGTTCGCCACTCTCAGTACTTTCACTCCCAGTTCTTCCAATCTCTGCTTGAATCTGAAGTTCCCAACTCTCGGCCCAGAGAACGAGAACACGCAGAGGGGTATTTTTTCTCCGTTGTCTTGAATCATATTTTCTGCTATGTCATAAGCGTTTATGGTGGCAAGAGCGCTGCCCAGGCTGTGGCCTGTCACTGAAATGCTCAGTTTCTTGCCTGAATATTCATGGAGTAGTCTCTGGACTTCTTCTGCCACCTGAGTTCTTGCTGATTTGTTGCAGAAAGTGTTGGATTCGTCGTTCTTGGTGTATATATCCAAGAACCCATCTTCAACCTTGATTGAAGGGTCATGGGTTGGGAGAGAATGGTGTTCTGTGGAGGTTTGGAAGTCCTGGATGTCTGAGAATATATCCAGGCTTGTCACAGTGCCTCTCCAGGCAATGGTTATGTCTCTGCGGCCGAGGTGTTGTGAGTATTCGTCGTTTGAGACCGCGACATAGCCAATCCAGCTTGCTCCTTGGGTCCAGTCGTTGGACCAAAGGGGTTTGTGCTTGAAGAAGTGTGCGACATCAAGGTTGTAGGATGAGTAGATGTATTTGGTGACATCGTACCCATATTTGGTCAATCCCAGGCTCTTGAAGAACATGTGAGGCTCAATCTTGATTCTGTGGCCGAATCTGGAAGATGGGTCTTTCTCGTAGGCATCATAGCATGCTTGAGCCATGTCTCCATAGCGGATCAGCTCGGTTCTTAGCAGAGAATCAAAGGGTTCCATTAGGCCAACCCAGTCATTTTCTCCATGAATCTCTTCCCAGAACTCTGCTAATCTTCTTTCAGCAGGCTTTTCATCTTCTGCGGCCTTTTCAAAGCCATGCAGCCTCGTGGTTATGGTTCTCGCGACCTGAAATCTGCATTTCAGGTTCCCAGTGGCTCCCCCATTTCTTGCCAGTCCAAGAAAGGAGGAGCGCTCCAGGCATCTGTGAACTGGGAGGGCTTTCTTGGGTAGATGGAAGCCATGGCCGCAGCCTTTCTTGAGCCACAAATTGATTTGGGAGGTAATGGTAGCCATTGATGTGTGTTAGTACAGTCTGCAAAAAGGATTGTTTGGAGGGTAGGGGAAAAGAGATGATGTGTGGGGATGTTAGGATTAACATGCAATTTATAGACTGCTCTTTGGTGGTTGGATTGGATGACTTTTCACAGTTGACTCTGTCTTTTAATTTCAGTGTATTTTCAATGGCTTTCCCTGTGATGAATTCATCAATCAACCTACCGAGTTTTTGATCTTTAGTCAAATTTCAATCCAATTGGATGGGGAGTTGCTTTCCGACTGCAAATTGCTTTATTTTTAATTACTATGCTAATTAAATTACAGTTGATCAAAAAATGAGTCGAACTTGAAACCTTGCAGATAACAAGTCAACCACTCAACCAACTGATAGAGTTGTTATCTCAAAAGTCTATATTACATAAGAACCGTCGCCTCACGTGCTCAAACTTACTCAAAGAAGAACCTTGTAGTTACGAAGTGAACTATCTGATTAACTTGTTTGGGACTATCACATTTAAATGAAAAGCTTATATTACACAATAATTATTAACTAGCTCAAACTATTCTAAGAAGGTTAATAGACCTTTGTAGTTATCAACTAACCTATCTAACCAACTTGGTTGGAGTTGCCACAACTCCACATCTAACTCAAAAGCTTATATGACACAAGAATCGGCTCAAACTATTAAAGCCAATAGATAGTTCTCATGAGAAGCTAAGTCAAACTCGAAATTAATCTTGTAGTTACCAATTCAACTACTTGATTAACTTGCCAAGAACCAACTCAAACCAATAAGACCAATATGTAACTTTCACAAAGAATCAAACTTGAAACTTTGTAATTACCAAATCATTTATCTGATTAATTTGATTAGGGTTAGCTATCTAATCTAAAAGCTTATATTACACAAGAAGGGGGGTTTTGAAGCAATTGGGGCTATAATTTATGAATTTTTCAATAACTTATAGTGGCAGCTATAGCAAAGTCTTGGGATAGTTTTCATTATTCTTCAACTAGCACTGTTTTTTAGGAAGTTAATTAACCTTAGCAGCCATAACCTTAAAGTCTTGACATAGTTTTCATTTTCCTTATTAAATTAGCAGTGTTTGTTAAGAAATTATATTAAATGTTTGCTTCTTGACTTTTCCTTCACCGATAATAATTCATAATTACATATAAGAGATAAATCATATTAGAAAAATTTGTGTAATACTTCGTAGCTCACAATTTATTTTTTTTTTAAAAACACTAAATAATAATAAAACCTATATAATGACCCATGTAGTAACATGCATAATCTGAAAACACTATAATAAAAATAATAGCGATAAGAAATGTTAAGCCTCTGCCTTTATATTAATAACTAGTTTTTTTACGCGCATTGCGCGATTGGGATAATGTCCAATGCTTTTTTTTTTTAAATAAGTATTTAAAGTATATTAAGGCAGGATTATATTGAAATTGTTCATGCATAGATAATTGAAGGTTGAATTTGCGTATTTAAATCGGTAATTCTTCTCCCAAAGGTTGAGTCCCCAACCCCAAGGGCCCCCCACACTCCGAGCCGACAGAGCATTGTGGGAAGTTGTAAATCACGGTGACTCAATGGTTCAGCAGACAAGGCCAAATGCTGATACGCACAAGGAATCTGCCCACTTTGGACATAATTCCCGCACTGCCGCCGCCGAGGTTCAAACCTTGGTCCCTTCTCCCAAATACTACCCACTAAACCATTGAGCTAAGCCCGTGCGGGTTAAATAGGTAATTCTAAGTTTACAAATGCAAGATAATATAGTCAAGATTGATTATAATTGTCAATAAAATAATTGTATAGGTATGGTTGAAACCAAATACGGGACATAAGGGAGAACAAATAAAAATTAGGGCATAAAATATTAAATATATACTAATATTGTTTGAGGAGATTCCGACATTAGGATTTGTGGTTAAGTTCTATTAAGACTTTAATATTAGAATTAGATTAATGGTGTAGTTATAATTCTATACTAGACTTTAATATTATAATTAGACTAACGGTGAATTAACGGAAAGGTTAAATGGATAATCATATAATTAACGATAAATTAGAAAATCTTAAAAGAAAAAAAATTAAAACCTGAACAATATGAACCATTCATTTGATTTAACAATTTGGCGGTCATTTTTTCTACCCAAGGTTAATAATTAAATAAATTCGTTGGTCAAATCCGCTAACGCTAACCGCTAACTGCGGATTGTCAAACAAGGACATTGCGAGGTAGTTCTCGCTTCAATTTGTTGTGTGATTTGAATACTCTCTTTGTCACAAAATCTCTCAAGTAGTTAATATGGTTGGCTTTATTAATTATATTTTTTAAATTTTTTCATGGTATTAATAAAATACTTGGTAAATAAATATATAGCATTATTTTGTATTATAACTTTTGAATGCATTTTGTATTATAACTTTGATATTTAATTAGAAAAATAGTGCACAAAAAAGATAATAGATAATGTAGTGAATATAATCAATTGATGAATTTGAATGTGAAAATTTTTACATTTGAGAAAAATAAAAACAATATAACTAATGAAAATATTTCTTTTAATTAATTTATTGATAATTAATAATTTTTTTTTCACGGAATAAAGACATTGTAAGGATAATGTAGCGAATATAATCAATTAATAAATTTGAATATAAAGAATTTTTATATTGAAGAAAAATAAAGACAATATAACTAATAAAATTATTTCTCTTATTTAATTTATTGATAATGAATAATTTTTTTTTTTTGAATAAAGGCATTGTGGACACATAATTCTAAATTAAAGAAATGCACATGTATTATTTTTTGTTGTAACTACTAAATTATTATTTATATAATTTAATAAGAGTAAAATAGAGTACTAATTATGCCAACTTTGATTGGGATGAGGTTCGAACCTAAGACATTTTTTTTATTGAAATCAATGAGTAAGTTAACGGTGAACTAACGACAATTCTTAAAATTTTAACGGAATTAGTAACGGTGTGTGGGTATTTTAGGAAATTTTAGTGTAAAATTTAAATCTGATCAATCTTTTAATCAATCTGAGCCATTCATTTGATTAAAATCTGTGACCGCCTTTTTTTCTACCCATTATAGGCCTAACTCTCTTGGGCTCTTATATATATATATATATATATATATATATATATATATATATATATATATATATATATATATATATATATATATATGCATTAAAGTATCCAAATGTTTCAAACTTTCAATTATAAAAATTTTGAGGAAAAATGTTACCTAGCTACCGACAAGAAAAACAATGGTATAAATAGCCATGCAACAATGAACTAATTAATCCTCAACCTTATATGTTAATAAATAAAATAAGTTAACAACCAATGACCAGCAATGGTGTCCCTTGGAGTTCCTAATCACTATTCAACTTTCTTCCTCAATGCTTCCCTCCATTTAGTTGACCATATTGAGAAAGTCGATTCATTGTTTAAGCTATTGACAATCAATTTGTCAATTTACCGAAATCTTTAGCAAGTAATCTAATTATGAAGTTTATTGGTCTTCGTGACGATGTTACCAATGTAGTTTATGCAAAAGATAGACTCAAATTAAATGTTATAAAAATTGTCTGTGAGCTAAATTATATTTTTACGTATAATGTGTCCATTAAGGTTGAATGGTGGAAACAGAATGGGTACGATTTTTGTTTAATTTTTTTTATCATTAATAACAAAACTACCAAACTATATGCCAATGCATAATTGTCTGTGGGCTAAATTATGATCATAGCTCAATATTTCATTCCACGTGAGCTGAATTTCATCATATTATATATAATTAATCGTAATTGATATGTCTAAAACTTTAAGTGATATAGCGAAACAACTTAATATATAATTTTAATTGATTAAGGATATCATGGCTACTCCTCAATTAATTAAAAATTGTAAGATAACTAAACAATTATCAGGTTATTGCCGATCTTTATGTGATTAAACTTAATAACCTTTAGTCAATTAAAAATGTTGTGACTAATGTTTAATTAACCAAAATTGTAATCACTTGTCAAAATGGATTTTAAAGCCTAACAAACAAATTATACTGACATGTGATACACAATTCCTAAGTATACTCCTTGGAAAGTTGGTCAAGACAAAGCTTAGTTATATACCATCTTTTTAGATAGAGTAGCATCTCAAATGGACTAGGAGCAACAAGACATTTAAGCGAGGGCCATAGAATTGGAACTAGTATTCCTCCTTAGGAAACTTCCTTGTTCATGTGTTCACATATTCAATGTATAGTAATGTGAGAGTTCTATATAAATGAGGTGAACTATCTTTTAGGATTCTTTAATGTGCCTTTTAATTTGACACAACTAAAAAGTAATAATATGCTTAATCTATCCTTACACTAAATTCATTCTTAAAAAGAACATGCGGCTTTTGCATAAACTCTGTTCATATGTAATAATTAGCAGTGTTTGATAATAAATTAATCTTTGCTTCTTGACTTTTCCTTTACGGTGAAATGAACGCGTAAACCATGTTCCTATGTAATAATTATTCATAAATCACATATGAGAGATAAAAGCATATGACAGAAGACATGTATGTGTGATAATACTTCATAGCTCACAAACTACGTACATATGAGAGACCACAAAAAAAAAAAAAAAAAAAAAAAAAAAAAAAAAAAAAAACAAATAATAATAGAACATATACAAGGACCCCATGTAGTAATATGCACAATCTAAAAACCATTTTGTAGTAAAAATAATAGTGAAAAGAACGTTAAGCCTCTATATATTAATAAAATAACAAATATCACAATCTAAACGTGGATTATAATGCATTAATTATCCAAATGTTACAAACTTTTAATTATAAAATTTTGGAGGAAAAATGTTACCCTATCGACAAGAAAAACAATGGTATAAATAGCCATGCAACAATAAATTAAACTGTACTTATCCTACAACCTTAATAAATAAAATAATTTAACAACCAATGACCAGCAATGGTGTCCCTTAGCTTGGAGTTCCTAATAATGAATCAGTTATCAACTTTCTTCCTCAATGCATCCCTCCATTTCGGTGGAATCTGCAAAGAATCATTCAACAAATCTTTAGATTTGTTTACCAGCGCAAGATCCCTTCCAGTTGCGCGCAAGAACGGTCTTCCTTCCCCCTGGTACCCGTCCAGCAAATGCAGAAGAAGCTCCAAGTTGTGGACTTCTGCAATGTCGATTGACTTTTTTATGAAGGGAGATTTAGTGTGGTCCAACATAAGCTTTTCCCCGACATGGAAGTAACTCCACGGCAGAAACTTAACAAGCTTTTGCATAAACACAGGCAGGCGTTCGTTCAACAAAACCCCAGGCACTTTCGGCACCGCGTCGTGGATGTTCGCCACTCTCAGTACTTTCACTCCCAGTTCTTCCAATCTCGACTTGAATCTGAAGTTCCCAACTCTCGGGCCGGAGAACGAGAACACGCAGACGGGTATTTTTTCTCCGTTGTTTTGAATCATATTTTCTGCTATGTCATAAGCGTTTAAGGTGGCAAGAGCGCTGCCCAGGCTGTGGCCTGTCACTGAAATGCTCAGTTTCTCGCCTGAATATTCATGGAGTAGTCTCTGGACTTCTTCTGCAACCTGGGTTCTTGCTGATTTGTTGCAGAAAGTGTTGGATTCGTCGTTCTTGGTGTATACATCCAAGAATCCATCTTCAACCTTGATTGCAGGGTCATGGGTGGGGAGAGAATGGTCTTCTGTGGAGGTTTGGAAGTCCTGGATATCTGCGAATATCTCCAGGCCTGTCACAGTGCCTCTCCAGGCAATGGTTATGTCTCTCCGGCCGAGGTGTCTTGAGTATTCGTCGTTTGAGACCGCGACATAGCCGATCCAGCTTGCTCCTTCGGTCCAGTCGTCGGATAAGAGAGGTTTATTGAAGAAGTTTGGGACATCAAGGTTGTAGGATGAGTAGATGTATTTGGTGACATCGTACCCATATTTGGTCAATCCCAGGCTCTTGAAGAACATGTGAGGCTCAATCTTGATTTTATAGCCGAATCTGGAAGATGGGTCTTCCTCGTAGGCGTCATAGCATGCTTGAGCCATGTCTCCATAGCGGATCAGCTCGGTTCTTAGCAGAGAATCAAAGGGTTCCAGCAAGCCAACCCAGTTATTTTCGCCATGAATCTCTTCCCAGCAGTCTGCTAATCTTCTTTCAGCAGGCTTTTGATCTTCTGCGGCCTTTTTAAAGCCATGCAGCGTCGTGGTTAGGGTTCTCACGAGCTGAAATCTTCCCTTCAGGTTCCCAGTGGCTCCCTCCAGGAATCTGTGAACTGGGAGGGCTTTCTTGGCTAGCAGGATGCCATGGGTGCAGCCTTTCTTGAGCCACAATTTGATTTGGGAGGTAATGGTAGCCATTGATTTGTGTTAGTAGAGTCTGCAAAAAGGATTGTTTGGAGGGTAGAGGGTAAAAGAGATGATGTGTGGAGAATGTTAGAATTAAGATGCAATTTATAGAGTGCTCAGAGGTGGTTGGATGACTTTTCACAGTTGACTGTGTCTTTTTATTTCAGTGTATATTTAATGGCTTTCCCTGTGATGAATTGATCATCAATATAATCAACCTACGGATTTTTCTTTAGTCAAATTTCAATCCCATTGGATGGGAAGTTGCTTCCTGGATGCAAATTGCCTCATTTTTCTATGCTAATTAAATTTCAGTTTGAAAATATATATAATGCTGCCTGTACCCGAAGTTGTGACTCAAATGAGGAAGGCTAATAGACGACTAGTTAAACTTGAAACCTCGTTAATAACGTATTCAACCAACTTGGCTAGAGTTGCCTCATCTAACACAAAAGCTTATATTACATAAGAACCAGCTCACAAGCTCAAACCAAGAAGAACTTTGTATTTACGAAGTCAACTATCTGACCAATTTGATTGGGACTATCACATTTAACTCAAAAGCTTATATTACACAATAACCAACTCAAACTAAGACAGCTAATAGACAGCTCTTATTATAAGTCAAACTTAGATCCTTGTACTTAGTTATACCATACCAAAGTCTTTGGATAGTTTTCGTTATCCTTCAGTTAGCAATGTTTTTCAGGAAGTTAATTAACCTTAGTAGGAGCCATGCATAACATTAAAGTCTTGACATCGTTTTCATTTTCCTTATTAAATTAGCAGTGTTTGTTAAGAAATTAACATTTGTTTCTTTGACTTTTCCTTTACATACCGTAAAATGGGCCTGTAAACCTCGATTTCTATATAATAATTTACAAATCACATACAAGAGATAAGTCATATATATTAAGAAAACATATGTAATACTCCATAACTCAAAAATTACATACATATGAGAGACCAAATAAAGCGAAAAAAAAAAGACCAAATAATAATAGAACCTATATAACGATCCTATGTAGTAACATGCATAATCTGAAAACATTCTGTAGTAAAAATAATAACGATGAGAAATGTTAAGCCTCTATATTAATAAAATAACATATATCACAATTTAAACATGGATTATATATAATGCATTAAATTATCCAAATGCTACAGACTTTCAATTATAAAATTTTTGAGAAAAATGTTACCCGCCCTATCCACAAGAAAAACAATGGTATGAATAGCCATCAACAATAAACTTATCATACTATACAACTATACAACCTTATATGTTAATAAATAAAATAATTTAACAACCAATGACTAACAATTGTGTCCCTTAGAGTTACTAATCAGTGATCAACTTTCTTCCTCAATGCTTCCCTCAATGTGATTAAACTTAATACTCCCTCCGTCCCTAATTGATTGTCTCATTTGCTTTTTGCACGATTTTTAATACAATATAACAAATGTTACTAACTTTTCAATTTTGTCCCTTATAGTAGGTGTTATTTGTACAAAGTACAATTGTACTTACCTCTAAAAATTTGAAAAGTCAAAACGGTAAATTGAGAAATGTAGAGTGATAGTTATGTTCAATTTTAGAAAGATGACACTATTTTGGGACAAACTAAAAAGGAAAGTAAGACAGGTAAAATGAGACGGAGGAAGTAACATTTAGTCAATTAAAGATATTGTGACTACCCTTTAATTAATCAAAATTGTAATCACTTGGCAGAAGAGACTAGTAGCAATAAAGCGTTTAAGTCAGTGCCATAAAACTAGTATTCCTCACTGAAAAACTTCCTTGGTTCATGTGTTATCATATATTCAATGTACAAAGTTTGAGAGTTCTATATGAATGTAGGTTAACATGTGGTTTAAGCGTTAAATGAGGTGAACTATCTTTAGGATTCTTTAATGTGTCTTTTCATTTGACACAAGTAAAGAGTAATAATATGTTTAATCTATATATCCTTAAACGCACTAAAATTCGTTCTAAAAGAACATGGTTTAATTTTTTAAAGGCATAAGCTCTATTCCTATGTAATAATTAGCAATGTTTGTGAAGAAATTAACGTTTACTTCTTGACTTTTCCAATATCATGAAATGGGCGTGTAAATCTCATTCCTATGTAATAATTCACAATTCACATATGAGAGATAAGTCATATGAGGAAGACATGTGTAATACTCCGTAGCTCACAAATTGCGTACATAAAGAGACCAAATAGAGAGCCACATGACAGGGTGTGGTGGGGTTCTTCGTAACCATGCAGGACACTGGATCACAGGCTTCAGTTGCATGACCAAGACCACTTCAGTTGTTCGAAGCAGAATTGTGGGCAATTTACTTGGGCATCAAGTGGGCTTGAGAACTTGGTGAGAGGAAAGTGCATATCCTAAGCGACTCACAACAAGCAGTTAACTGGATAAACGGGGATCTCAACCTTCTGGGCCATTGCGATACGCTCGTCAAATGGTGTAAAGAGTGGCTAGGGAAGGACTGGACAGTCACCTTGAAGCATATCCCCCGAGAGAGAAATAGGGTTGCGGACGAGTTAGCGAAAGCTGCGCCAAAGGACCACTACGAGGGGATGGATTTAATTTATCCACCGATGGTTTCGTGATCTCATGAGAATGGAGGGTGCGTTCAATCTGAGCACCACCTGTGATTAATTAGTATATTTGGGTAACCCCCCTTTTCTTCCCTAAAAAAAAAAAGCGAAAAAAAAAAATCAAACAATAATAGAACCTATATAAGGATTAGGGGTATAAACGAGTCGAGCTCGATCGGCGGTTATGAAACGAGCCGGTTTGAGCTCGAATTGGAGTTGACCGAGCTCGAGTTGAGTTTTAACTGAGCAGCTCACGAGCCGCTCGGCTATATATATATATATATATATATATATATATATATATATATATATATATGTGTGTGTGTGTGTGTGTGTGTGTGTGTGTGTGTGTGTGTGTGTGTGTGTGTGTGTATGTGTGTATGTATGTATGTATGTATGTATATGACTCGTGATCGGCTTGACGAGCGAACCACAAGCCTAAAACATTTGTAGTAAAAATAATAGTGATATGAAATGTTAAGCCTCTATATTAATAAATTAATAAAATAACATATATCACAATTTAAAGGTGGATTATAATGCATTAAATTATCTAAATGTTACAAACTTTGGAATATAAAATTTTTGAGGAAAAATGTTACTCTACGACAAGCTAAGAAAAACAATGGTATAAATAGCCATGCAACAATAAATTAAACTTATCCTACAGCCTTATATGTTCATAAATAAATTAATTTAACAACCATTGACCAGCAATGGTGTCCCTTAGCTTGGAGTTCCTAATTAATCAGTTATCAACTTTCTTCCTCAATGCATCTCTCCATTTCGGTGGAATCTGCAAAGAATCATTCAACAAATCTTTAGATTTGTTTACCAGAGCAAGATCCCTCCCAGTTGCGCGCAAGAACGGCCTTCCTTCCCCCTGGTACCCGTCCAGCAAATGCAGAAGAAGCTCCAAGTTGTGGACTTCTGCAATGTCGATTGACTTTTTTATGAAGGGAGATTTAGTGTGATCCAACATAAGCTTTTCCCCGACATGGAAGTAACTCCATGGCAGAAACTTAACAAGCTTTTGCATAAACACAGGCAGGCGTTCGTTCAACAAAACCCCAGGCACTTTCGGCACCGCGTCGTGGATGTTCGCTACTCTCAGTACTTTCACTCCTAGTTCTTCCATTCTCTGCTTGAATCTGAAGTTCCCAACTCTCGGCCCGGAGAACGAGAACACGCTGATGATGGGTATTTTTTCTCCGTTGTCTTGAATCATATTTTCTGCTATGTCATAAGCGTTTAAGGTGGCAAGAGCGCTGCCCAGGCTGTGGCCTGTCACTGAAATGCTCAGTTTCTCGCCTGAATATTCATGGAGTAGTCTCTGGACTTCTTCTGCAACCTGGGTTCTTGCTGATTTGTTGCAGAAAGTGTTGGATTCGTCGTTCTTGGTGTATACATCCAAGAATCCATCTTCAACCTTGATTGAAGGGTCATGGGTGGGGAGAGAATGGTCTTCTGTGGAGGTTTGGAAGTCCTGGATGTCTGCGAATATCTCCAGGCCTGTCACAGTGCCTCTCCAGGCAATGGTTATGTCTCTCCGGCCGAGGTGTCTTGAGTATTCGTCGTTTGAGACCGCGACATAGCCGATCCAGCTTGCTCCTTCGGTCCAGTCGTCGGATAAGAGAGGTTTATTGAAGAAGTTTGGGACATCAAGGTTGTAGGATGAGTAGATGTATTTGGTGACATCGTACCCATATTTGGTCAATCCCAGGCTTTTGAAGAACATGTGAGGCTCAATCTTGATTTTATAGCCGAATCTGGAAGATGGGTCTTCCTCGTAGGCGTCATAGCATGCTTGAGCCATGTCTCCATAACGGATCAGCTCGGTTCTTAGCAGAGAATCAAAGGGTTCCAGCAGGCCAACCCAATCATTTTCGCCATGAATCTCTTCCCAGCAGTCTGCTAATCTTCTTTCAGCATGCTTTTGATCTTCTGCGGCCTTTTTAAAGCCATGCAGCGTCGTGGTTAGGGTTCTCACGAGCTGAAATCTGCCCTTCAGGTTCCCAGTGGCTCCCTCCAGGAATCTGTGAACTGGGAGGGCTTTCCTGGCTAGCAGGATGCCATGGGTGCAGCCTTTCTTGAGCCACAATTTGATTTGGGAGGTAATGGTAGCCATTGATTTGTGTTAGTACAGTCTGCAAAAAGGATTGTTTGGAGGGTAGAGGGAAAAGAGATGATGTGTGGGGAATGTTAAGATTAACATGCAATTTATAGACTGCTCTTTGCTGGTTGGATTGGATGACTTTTCACAGTTGACTGTGTCTTTTCTATTTCAGTGTATGTTTAATGGCTTTCCCTGTGATGAATTGATCAATATAATCAACCTACCGAGTTTTCTTTAGTCAAATTTCAATCCCATTGGATGGCAAGTTGCTTTCTGGCTGCAAATTGCTTCATTTTTCTATGCTAATTAAATTAAGTTGCGACTCAAATTAAAAACCTAATAAACAACTCTCAGTATGTGTCAAACTTGAAATCTTGAGGTTAATTGTTACATCTAACTTAAAAGCATATATTACATAAGAACCGATTCACGAGCTCAAACCAAGAGGAACCTTGTAGTTCCAAAATCAAATATTTGAACAACTTGGTTGGGGCTATCACATTTAACTCAAAAGCTTATATTACACAATAACAAGTTCAAACTAAGAAGACTAAGACAGCTTTTATTATGAGTCAAACTTAGAACCTTATATTAGTTTCTAACTAAGAAGTTCAAACTAAGAAGACCAATAGATAGCTCTCACCAGAAGTCAAACTTGAAATTAATCTTGTAGTTACCAAACCAATTACCATATCAACTTGTCAAGAACCAACTCATACCAATAAAACCAATAGGCAATGTTTACAAGAAATCAATCTTGAAATCTCACAGTTACCAAATCAATTACGACATAATCAACTTGGTTGGGTTATCTCACTACTGGAAATTCTGAAATTTCCGACCACCTGAAAATGATCTTAAATTAAGTTGATACCAAAAAGTCCAAAAAGTGATCGGAAATAGCAACAAAGGTTTTTCTGGATACCAAAAGTGGTCGGAACAAGACTTTCAACTTGATTTAAGATCACTTTCAGGTGGTCGGAAATTTCAGAATTTCCAGTAGTGTCTATCTAATTCAAGAGCTTATATTACACAAGAAGGGAAGGGGGGGGGGGGGGGGGGGGTGTTTGTAACAATTGGGGCAATAATTTATGAATTTCTCAATAACTTATAGTAGCAGCTATACCAAAGTATTGGGATAATTTTCATTATCCTTCAATTACCAATGTTTTTCAGGAAGTTAATTAACCTTAGCAGCCATGCATAACGTTAAAGTCTTGACATAGTTTTCATTTTCCTTATTAAATTAGCAGTGTTTGTTAAGAAATTAATAACTTGCTTCTAGCTTGACTTTTCCTTTATCGTGAAATGGACGTGTAAATCCTGATTCTTATGTAATAATTCACAAATCATATATGAGAAACAAGTTATATTAGGAAGACATATGTAATATTTCGTAACTCACAAATTACTTACATATGAGAGACCAAATAAAGCCAAAAAATAAAAAAAAGACCAAGTAATAATAGAACCTATATAAGGACCCCATGTAGTAACATGCACTATCTAAAAATATTTAATTTGTAGTAAAAATAATAGCAATAAGAAATGTTAAGCATGGATTATAAAATAACATATATATCGACCTCGTGTGTCCCCTTCCATTTAAATCTTAAAAAAAAAACCATATATCACAATTTAAACATGGATTATATATAATGTATTAAATTATCCAAATGTTACAAACTTTCAATTATAAAATGTTACCCGCCCTATTCACAAGAAAAACATTGGTATAAATAGCCATCAACAATCAACTTGTCCTACTATACAACGTTATCTGCTAATATAAATAAAATAATTTAACAACCAATGCTTTTTTTCCGAAAATGGACATATAAACTCTGTTTCTACTGACTCTATGACAATGTAGTATTTGTTCATATATTTTCTCAACCTAAAGCTCGAACTCACAACCTTCCAAATAAAAATCCAACTCAGGTACCATTAGACCACATAGTCTTGGTCTATTCCTATCTAATAATTCACAAATTATATATGAGAGATAAGTCATAGGAGGAAGACATGTGTCATACTCTGTTAGCTCACAAACTAGGTACATATGAGAGACCAAATCAAGCAAATAATAATAATAATAATAATAATAATAATAATAAAACCTATATAAGGACTAGGGGTTTAAACGAGTAGAGCTGAGCTCAAGCTCGAGCTCGATTCGGTTATAAAACGAGCAAGCTTGAGCTTGAAGTTGACCGAGTTTGAGTTGAGTTTTGACCGAACGGCTCGCGAGCCATTTTGCTATAATTATTTATATATATATATATATATATATATATATATATATATATATATATATAGTTAATTATGTGTGTGTGTGTGTGAAGACTTTAATTAGTTTATGCATGGCTGCTAAGGGTAATTATATTAACTTCCGAACTAACTCTGCTCATGGAAGGATAATGAAAACTATCCAATGACTTTGGTATGACTGCTACTGTAAATTATTGAAAAATTCGTAAATTATTGCCCAGTTGCTTCACAAACCACCCTTCTTGTCTTGTATAATATAAGCTTATGAGTTAGATGGGCAACTTATAGTCAAGTTGGTCAATTAATTAGCTAGCTTAATAATTATAAGATTATTTCAAGTCAACATCTCGTGAAAGTTATCTGATCTATTAACTTGCTTGGTTTGAGCTAATTAGCCAAGGGCAACTGAGGTTCTAAGATCACAAGGCGGGCAATAAGCTTCATCAAGAGTGAGTGAGGATCACAAGGTGATCGAGATTCAATCAGAGCACACTTTCAAGTAATAGTTGCGGGTTTCCTATAAATCAAAGCTTTTGAGTTAGACTGATTACATGGCCTTCTTTGTTTGAATCACTTATAGACAATAATTAAGTATGTTTACTTTCTTGTGGTCCTTTGCTGGCTAGGATCATAAAGTAAGTCTCACCTGGAGTGTTATTTAACCCCTTGTGGTACTTTGCGGTCTAAAATCATAAGGTGTGCTGTGGGCCGGGCTTCACCAGAGTTATTTACCTCCTTGTGCTTCTTTACCGACTAAGATCGTCACTAGGTGATCAGCTCCACCGTACCCAGAGTGTACCTTTGGATAGCAGCCCTGGGCTTTAATTTCTTGTAAATCATAGATTGACTGCATTTTTTTTTTTATAATTCTAATTTAGTTAGCAGGGAAAATTAGGCTAATTGCAGGCAGACAGCAACTTCCTACCCAATGGGATTGGAATTATTTGACTACGAAAACTCGGAACGTTGATTGATCAATTCATCACAGGGAAAGCCATTGAAAACACACTGAAATAAAAGACAGAGTCAACTGTGAAAAGTCATCCAATCCAACCACCAAAGAGAAGTCTATAAATTGCATGTTAATCCTAACATTCCCCACACATCATCTCTTTTCCCTCTACCCTCCAAACAATCCTTTTTGCAGACTGTACTAACACACATCAATGGCTACCATTACCTCCCAAATCAATTTGTGGCTCAAGAAAGGCTGCACCCATGGCATCCATCTAGCCAAGAAAGCCCTCCCAGTTCACAGATTCCTGGTGGGCTCCTCCCTTCTTGGACTGAAAAGAAACGGGGGAGCCACTGGGAACCTGAAATGCAGATTTCAGCTCGTGAAAACCATAACCACGACGTTGCATGGCTTCGAAAAGGCTGCTGAAGATCAAAAGCCTGCTGAAAGAAGATTAGCAGATTGCTGGGAAGAGATTCATGGCGGAAATAACTGGGTTGGCCTGCTGGAACCCTTTGATTCTCTGCTAAGAACCGAGCTGATCCGCTATGGCGACATGGCTCAAGCATGCTATGACGCCTACGAGGAAGACCCATCTTCCAGATTCGGCTATAGAATCAAGATTGAGCCTCACATGTTCTTCAAGAGCCTGGGATTGACCAAATATGGGTACGATGTCACCAAATACATCTACTCATCCTACAACCTTGATGTCCCAAACTTCTTCAATAAACCTCTCTTATCCGACGATTGGACCGAAGGAGCAAGCTGGATCGGCTATGTCGCGGTCTCAAACGACGAATACTCAAGACACCTCGGCCGGAGAGACATAACCATTGCCTGGAGAGGCACTGTGACAGGCCTGGAGATATTCGCAGACATCCAGGACTTCCAAACCTCCACAGAAGATCATGATCTCCCCACCCATGACCCTTCAATCAAGGTTGAAGATGGATTCTTGGATGTATACACCAAGAACGACGAATCCAACAAATCAGCAAGAACTCAGGTGGCAGAAGAAGTTCAGAGACTAGTCCATGAATATTCAGGCGAGAAACTGAGCATTTCAGTGACAGGCCACAGCCTGGGCAGCGCTCTTGCCACCTTAAACGCTTATGATATAGCAGAAAATATGATTCAAGACAACGGAGAAAAAATACCCATCATCAGCGTGTTCTCGTTCTCCGGGCCGAGAGTTGGGAACTTCAGATTCAAGCAGAGATTGGAAGAACTGGGAGTAAAAGTACTGAGAGTAGCGAACATCCACGATGCCGTGCCGAAAGTGCCTGGGGTTTTGTTGAACGAACGCCTGCCTGTGTTTATGCAGAAGCTTGTTGAGTTTCTGCCATGGAGTTACTTCCATGTCGGGGAAAAACTTACGTTGGACCACACTAAATCTCCCTTCGTAAAAAAGTCAATCGACATTGCAGAAGTCCACAACTTGGAGCTTCTTCTGCATTTACTCGATGGGTACCAGGGGGAAGGAAGAGAGTTCTTGCGCGCCACTGGGAGGGATCTTGCACTGGTAAACAAATCTGCAGATTTGTTGAATGATGCTTTGCAGATTCCACCGAAATGGAGGGAAGCGAAGAAAGTTGAACAGTGATTAGGAACACCAAGGCACACCATTGCTGGTTATTGGTTGTTAAATTATTTTATTTATTAACAAATTAGGTTGTAGGATAAGTTTATTGTTGCATGGCTATTTATACCATTGTTTTTCTTGTCCATACTCCACCCATTTGGTCCACACAAATTTAAATTATTTTAAATTATTTGGAGTGTTAGTTTTTCATTTTTTTTTAATGGTTGGTGGGAGTATCAACTTGTTGGGA